ACCTTTAGTTTGGGCATGGCACCCATGAAACAAAATCAGTATATCAATTATTTCTTATGATTGGGTATGGTGTCCCGCACATTAAAAAAAATACGGAAATGTTGGACGAGCCCTCTACTTGGTGGTTCACCCCCACTTAGTAAGTAGGTTATACCCCTGGTTACAACTGGGCTAGGTAGGGTTAGTTCACTTATATTTTATAATTCACTTACTAACTGGGATGAACCACCAAGTTTCAACTCACACCCCACTGTGGTGTGGATTTTGTTTGCTACTCAAAAAAAAATCCTGATGGCATCAATCTAGTGCTGCACAATGGTTTTGCAACCCTGGCCCGAACACACCGAACGTGGCAAAAAAGAACGTCCTGAGGTGTGGGAAGTGTTGAAGGAAACCCAAAACCTGAATTGCTGCAGTGGGATAAGAGAATAACAACCCAAAATGGTTGTGAATGACCAAGGTTGTTTTGAAATATGTGTGACTTTCCACTTTGAAAATTTACACTGGGTTGTTTTGGTTGGTAGAGTCTGCTATTGGCCACTGGGGTGCCGCTGCCCTTCAATTTGACTTGAGGAGCCAACATGCACCCAGGGAAAGATGTCGGTGAAGTAGCCGGTAGTTTGGCCTGTTCCAAAGATGCTGCCTGCTCACACGGTCGGTTGCTAGTAACTAAACGGGATCATCCTATGGGGTAGCATGTACCTAGGCATATATATATAATACATATTTAGCCATATGTGCACATTATATTTATATAAATGTGTCTGTGAAAACATGAAGTAACTGGAGCATCTTCTAGCTGCTTTTGTTCTAAGTTTTCTTCCTCCTAAGTCTAGAAAACGTTTTTTTCTCAACTTAAAAAAGCTAGCATTGCCTGCTACTAGCATGGTTGCAGACTGCAATGGTGTTGTCGAAGCATCAGCTGATCCACTGGTAGTGAATGAGATTTTTTTCTCAGCTTAAAAGCCAGCATTGCCTGCTACTAGCATGGTTGCAGACTGCAATGGTGTTGTCGAGGCATCAGTTGATCCTAGTGAATGATATTTTTTCTCAACGTAAAAGCTGCCCACCACTAGTGTGGTTGCAGACTGCAATGGGGGTTGTCTAAGCATCAATTGACCCATTGGTAGTGGAGCTTTGCTGTTCTGTACTGGCTAGTCCAGGTGTTTGTTTATGCAAGTCCCAGCATATATGGTGTGGTATGGAAGCTGATGGTAGAGATTTTGTGGAATCTCTTCAAACCTCAGTTGCCACTAATCCAGCCTCAGTTGCCACTAATGTTACTTGTCTGTGTGTAAAAGCCTCTGTGTGTAAAAGCGTCTGTGTGTAAAAGCGTCTGTGTGTAAAAGACTGTGTGCAAAAGCGTCTGTGTGTAAAAGCGTCTGTGTGTCAAAGCGTCTGTGTGTAAAAGCGTCTGTGTGTAAAAGGCTCTGTGTGTAAAAGCGTCTGTGTGTAAAAGCGTCTGTGTGTAAAAGAGCCTATGTGTAAAAAGCGTTTGTGTGTAAAAGCGTCTGTGTGTAAAAGCGTCTGTGTGTAAAAGCTCTGTGTGTAAAAGCGTCTGTGTGTAAAAGCGTCTGTGTGTAAAAGCGTCTGTGTGTCAAAGCGTCTGTGTGTAAAAGCGTGTAAAAGTGTGTGTAAAAGCGTCTGTGTGTAAAAGCGTCTGTGTGTAAAAGTCTGTGTGTAAAAGTGTGTAAAAGCGTCTGTGTGTAAAAGCGTCTGTGTGTAAAAGGCTCTGTGTGTAAAAGCGTCTGTGTGTAAAAGCGTCTGTGTGTAAAAGAGCCTGTGTGTAAAAAGCGTATGTGTAAAAGCGTCTGTGTGTAAAAGCGTCTGTGTGTAAAAGCGTCTGTGTGTAAAAGCTTCTGTGTGTAAAAGCTTCTGTGTGTAAAAGCGTCTGTGTGTGTAAAAGTCTCTGTGTGTAAAAGTGTTTGTGTGTAAAAGTGTTTGTGTGCAAAATCGTCTGTGTGTAAAAGCGTCTGTGTGTAAAAGTCTCTGTGTGTAAAAGTCTCTGTGTGTAAAAGTCTCTGTGTGCAAAAGCGTCTGTCTGTAAAAAGTTCTGTGTATGAAAAACTTTACAAAAATACGATGCAAACTATTGTCTTGTACTAGTCATATATTGTCTTGATACTACTCTTCTCGTCTGCCTATAATACATCTTTAATATAGTGTCTCCATACTAACAACAAAAGACTCTGCTCCTCTACGCTCTCGGGCCATCCGTCGTCTAGTTTCACAGCAAAGCTTTCACACAAAGCAAGATTTTAATTTTACACACAGCAAGCTTTTATACAGAGAAACCTTTTACACAAAGCAAGCTTTTACACACAGCAAGCTCTTACACAAAGAAGCTTTTACACAGAAAAACTTTTACACACAGCAAGCTTTTATACAGAGAAACCTTTTCACAGAGCAAGCTTTTACACACAGCAAGCTTTTACACAGAGAAGGTTTTTCACAGAGAAGCTTTTACACACAGAAGCTCTTGCACAGACACGCTTTGACACAGAGCAAGCTTTTACACACAGAAGCTCTTTCACAGAGACGCTTTGACACAGAGCAAGCTTTTACACAGAGAAGCTTTTACACACAGCAAGCTTTTTCACAGCACCGAGCAAACTTTTACATAGAGAAGCGTTTACACACACAGAGGCTCTTACACAGAGACGCTTTTACACAGAACAAGCCTTACGCATAGAATATTTTTACACACAGCAAGCCCTTATACAGAGAAGGTTTTGCACAGAGCAGGTTTTGCACAGAGAAGCTCTTACACACAGCAAGCTTTTATTCAGAGCAAGCTTTTACGCAGAGAAGCTTTTACACACAGCAAGCTCTGACACAGAGCAAGCGTGTACACAGAGGAGCTACTACACACAGAAACTTTTACACACAACAAGCTTCTACACAGAGAAGCTTTCACGCAAAGAATCTGCTACACAGGATGCGTCAAAATGGAGAAAAAAATGCTGCCCGCAGTCGCAGCAGCGAGGAACCTTGACGCAGCCATTCCACTGCGATCTGCAGAGACTGAGTTGCAAAGCACAAAAGCGCAGCGTCAACAAAGAAGGGAAAAAGTCACCTTTAAACCCTCAGTTGCACTGCGCGCGCAGATCGAACAGGAATCGACGGCAAAGCGACGACGCCCGCAACCGTCACGCACGCGAGCCAACTTTTCTCCGCAACGGATCCTCCGTTTAACCGAAGAAACACAATGTGTCGTGCAAATCCTAACATTCAAATCGCATCCTGGATGTAGCAGTTCCAATGCGATCTGCCAACAACGACTTGCCAAACAAAATCCGAATCGCAAGACTATACTGAAGAACAAGTACCCTTCGAGAAGTCTTGGCGCAGCCATTTCACTGCAATTTGCCGACGAACAAGAAAAAGAAAAAGTCGCCTTGAACCCTCAGTTACACCACGCGCGCAAATCGAACAGGAATCGGTGGCAAAGCGACGACGCCCGCAACCGTCGCGAACGCGAGCCAACTTTTCTCCGCAGCGGAACCTCCGTTTAACTCAGTTTAACCGAAGAAACACGATGTGTCGTGCAAATTCTAACATTCAAATCGCATCCTTGACGTAGCAGTTCCAATGCGATCTGCCAACAATGACTTGCAAGACAATACTGAACTGAAGAACAAGTACCCTTCGAGAAGCCTTGGCGCAGCCATTCCACTGCGATCTGCCGACCAACAAAGAAGAGAAAAAGTCACCTTGAACCCTGAGTTACACCGCACGCGCAAATCGAACAGGAATCGGTGGCAAAGCGACGACGCCTGTAACCGTCGCGCACGCAAGCCAACTTTTCTCCGCAGCGGAACCTCCGTTCAACCGAAAAAACACAATGTGTCTTGCAAATCCTAACGTTCAAATCGCATGCATGATGTATCAGTTCCAACGCGGTCTGCCAGCAATGACTTGCAAAACACAATCGAAATCGCAACTACTCTGCTCTGCTCGACTATTTACTATTTCTTCTCTAATCTACTCTGCTCAACTCTACTCTGCCTCTATCCCTTCTCTACTTCTACTCTGCTCTATTCCACTCTTCTCTACTCTACCCTCTTCTACTCTTCTATACTCTACTCTGCTTTACTCTACTCTTCTCTAGTGTACTCTGCTTTGCTCCACTCTTCTCTACTCTTCTCTACTCTACGCTGCTCTATACTTGATCTTTGGTCAGCAAGAATGTGACTTCATGATTTCTTAACGCAGGTGCCAACTGGACACAATGATCTTTGGGCTGGTGAGAATGTGAAAGTCCGTAACTCGGAGTTTCCTCCATGAAATTTCCTTTGATTATGTGAATCAAGCAAAATGTAGCGGGGGATCATGGGACACATGTCTCCACATGTTCAGTTGTCACCTCAAATTCATTGAAAACCGATGATGTTACCCCCATTAAATCAACATTTCTAGTTAATTTGCAAGATGATTTTCAAATTTCATGGATATCATTGGATATCCCCTCGATCATCTTCAAGTGTTTTTTTCATGTTCTTTCACTCATCATCCCCATCGTGCAACACTTCTGGCTCTTCTTTTCACCGCTGGCGCACACGGCACCGCAACGGTGGGAAAAAAAAAAGCCGCTGCACCTGGGCCCGAGGCTCCGAGGGGAGGTTGGTGCATTTGTGGTGCATATTTGACTCAACCAAAACTAGCTGCCTTTTCTGTCTCTCCTCTTTAGAATCAACAATGTGGGTTTCAAATCCACAAGTCTACAGTATACAAATCACAAAGGGATTGCAAGTTGAAGTGAGAACAAGCCTTGACCGATATCTAAGCGGGGGAAAATGTGCGGGCGTTGTTCACCAGCGGAAGGACACCACCCCAAACTTGCAAATCCGTGCCTTAAGATATTTGAAGATACACTGCCAAAACCTAACATCCCAAACTCAGCCATGATAAAGAGGAGAATGAAGCCATATCAAACCTATCTCCCAAACTTTCCAAGCCATTCCAAGCCCACTTTGGGCGGGTGACTGGCCAGGCTTGCCTCATGTCACGCGGATCAACTCCCCTTCACTGATGGAGGATAGAACCAGCACCTGATTTCAGCGTGAGACATCAGCTTTTCTGCACTGGATGGAACATGAGCACAAGACAGCACAAGTAGGTCCAACAAGTTCCAGACTCAACAAACTCACCACTTAATTTTCGCGGTCTCACTGGTTTCGCGAGCAGAAAGCAGGAATTTGAAGGCCACCCCCAGCTTCTTAAGCTTGCAATGGGTTGCATGGTTCGACCGATCGGGATGCAGCAAATGCCAAGATCAGGTTCACCCTGGTTCACCATCAGATCTGAAAATGCCAGCTACCTTTGATACATTTTGATACAACCTGCGCCAGCCCTTCGCAATCGGGGCCTGAAGGGCAAATGCATGTTCCTTCGATGGTCGAAATTGGAGTTCGACATTTGCCTGCAAGATTTGGACGGGGAAATAGTGAAAATGCTGATGTATAAGAGCTGCTAACATCTATTAACACAACGGGTTTGAATACCAATGGACAAAAGCATTTCCATGCTGCATCAAAATCTTCCGTGCAAGACAAGCTTAGCCATCAACTGAAAAAGGATTTGCACTCATTGCAAACGCTTGACATTGCTTGACCTTGTTGAACCGCATTTGATGTAACAGAGAGAGAGAGAGAGAGACAGCAAGAGCCACCCCATGAGCAATATGTTCTTTTTGAAAAAATCCACTTCCCAACCGTCCCAACCTGGTGGGAGGAGTTCTTGGCCCTCAACCTTGCTAACTTGGGATAGTAACCCACACCAACCTTGGCATGAAGGCACTCAGGTGGATACCAAGGAGTTTCTGGAATATGTCCAAAAACTAAGTCATACAGAGATAACATGAGATGACCACTATATCAAATATGTCAGACATATGCCATTAAAAAAAAACATAAGGCACATGTTTTTTTTTACGGAGAGTCCTGTTTACCAAACTTTCCGAACCAGAATCAACATATCAATCCCCTATGGATCCAAACACTGTCTGAGAAGGTACTTAACCCTCCAAATCATACCCGAAACACTTCCTAAGAAGGTACGGCTGGATCCATAGGGATCATGTCACAACACCTTCCTAAAAGATGTGGCTTCACCAAAACTAATGGATCCCCAGCAGCCGCCGACATCTTGGACCCCATGCAGCTGCAGCTGAGGCATGCCGCACTCGGCCGCTGATGATGGAGCCCACCAGTTCTTCGGCACCTGGATCAGATCTTACTGGATTGGTTGAAGAGAAAACCAACGGGAAACCGAGCGCTTGATTTTTTCAGTGTCTGCCAGCAAATATGAAACCGTATCAAACCCAGGTCTTTGCCAGAGCCTGGGTCAATTCTGATCTGACTCAATGTTGAGTACACCGGCAGCAATGTAGCACAAAACACAACACATATGTCATTGAAAAATCAGGTCCCCAATTCAAATTACTCAAGTATCCAGTATCCTTCCTTGAAAACTGTAAAAGCAATGATGTCTCGTGTCTAATATGTTTATATATTCTGATTATAATGGAGAGAGAGAGAGAGCTATATATATATATATGTGGGGGGGGAATGACCACATTAGCTACTGTTGATGTCACTTTGCCTCTGCAGTGATATTGTTTTCATGACGCCTCAAACGCCCACCATGCGGGCTCCCCACGTTGATCGCTCCAGCGCACTGCTGAACAGAAGTGTGCGACCTGGGTTTCCCCCAGCTTCCAAGGGCATCTAAATGCATACAACGTGATGAGTTCACCCTGAACATAGTTGATATTTTTGGACATTTGGGAGTGATTCCCCTTACGAACATTTGCCAACCATCACATTTGCTAATCATCATGGCAGTGACGTCAAAGTGAGGTCATTCACCCAAATGTATCTATAATATGTAATTACACATTGTACTTCTAATAATAAATTATGTGAATGTGTACGATGAGTCAATGCTTGGGGGGATGATGGGGATGTTTCACCAATGTAGTTGGCGATGTATCATATCATACGGTTACTATGCTTGGACTCCTGCCTGCTGTCCCTTGGTTTTTTGACAAACAACATTGCCGCGAGCCAAACAAAAACAGAAAGTGAAGAGATCAGGAATATAACAGCAGTGCTCACCAAACACATCCAAACACGAAGTAGTCAAGGACTTTAGGTACCAATAGTTGCAAAGTTGGAAAACAGTCCAACATTTGTTGGTTTCACCCCCTTCACCAACAGTAGTCACGCGGGGATCCTCATTCCGTCAATGAATTAATAGCAATTTCCGGCCACCAAGCATCAAAGGAGAATGCCAAACAGGAAGGCTTTGAAACGTTTGAAATGACTGATTGATGCTGTGTCCCCTTCAAACCAAATTAGTGAGGTTGTCCTCACAATACAGGCCTAGCGGCCTAGCTGGTTTGTGGCCCCATTGCTAAGTTATATCTCAGGAAATTGAGATGGTTCATCCATGTTCATCCCATTTCAGAAGTTTTTTGCATCATATTTTACGGATTTT